TTATATTTTTATATAACTTTATTTTTATAATTAGTTTAAGGTTGATGATTAAAAATTAATTATTCATATTTTAAAACATAAATGCTAGATAAATGTTTATATTTTAATATTAAAAAATAAAATATACTACATTGAGGTCACATAAAAAGGACAATTAAAATTAAAATTTATGCCAAATAAACATCTTGATTGATTTTCCATTAAGAATAGAGCCATGGAATCTCGAAGTGAAATCATGTCACGATCCTCCATTGTACTAACAAAATTATTTTGAGAAATTCCTTGATCCATGCTTTCTTCCCCAAGCATTTCAAGCATATAATTTGGGTTCTAATCACACCTATCAAATTCTTTATCCTTGATTGCATGTTGCCTAATATAATTATGAAGTGCAATAGTTGCAGCTACTATCTTCATATGTGTTGTAAATGAATAATTTCGCATGCCGAACAATATTTCAAACCTATTTTTCCAACACCCAATCGATCATTCAATGACATTTCTGAGACAAGCATGAGTATGGTTGAATACTTCTTGATAACCGATTGGTTGGCTTCCACGGCTAAAATTAGGAATGTGATACATTTTTCCTTTATAAGGTGCCAAATATCTTTTTATATTAGGATAATTAGTATTAACAAGATAATATTTACCTAAAATATAAGAGACAAGTCATTGATAATAAATACGAAAATTTTTCTTAAAAATTCATTAAGAATTGTGCTTAAAAACTATATTACAAAATAAATAGAAAATTATTACCATCAAGAGGATGAAGGAAACACATCCTTATGCTTTTCCAATGTATTGGTAAAAACATGTGCACCATGAGTAGATTCAGGCCACCCAATAACTACAAATGTCAATATCATGTCAAAATTGCAAACTACCATCACATTTTGAGTGGGGATGCCTTCGCAAAGCCTGCACTCCTACTCGCTACAACCATGCCCCTGCCTCACCTACACAAAAAAACAGCAATACCAGACAAAATTGGCATCATCAGTGATTGACGGAGCAAGTTTATTTATTTATTTATTTCATTTTATTTTATTTTATTATTTGGGTATATATATGGAGCAAAAAGCAGAGTAAAGGGGGGGTCTTTTGTTGATTTTGGGTCTGGTTTTGGGAGTCTCCTTCTGAGTTTTCGAAGAGCAGTAGAAAGGGATTTCGTGGGGAAGAAAAGGGGCAACAACGGCTAGAGGAGGAGACGTTGTTGAGTTTCAAGAAGTGTGCCTTTTCTGGATTTGTTTCTGTAGGTAATTTTCTCATCAGAGGAGGTTCTTGAGAAAGGTGGTGAGGGAGAGGGTTGGAGTTTGATCCCGTGGGTGGGATCCCTCCCTCCGATTCTGACCTGTCTTCTTCAAAAAACCTTCGCCATGCTTGTTTTTATTTTTTTGGCTTTTTCTTGACGTGCTATAAGTGTGTTCGAGAGTAATATTGTGAATGAAAAAATTAAAAAAAAGAAATTGTCCAATTCATTTTGTCTGATAAATGTGCTTTTTTTTTTCTTTTTCTATTGGTGAATGTGATTTTTATGATGAACGTGTTCTTTCTTTTTGAAATAGATGAACCCTAATTTTCAATTCCGTTTCTCTCCAGATTCCATTTTTTCTTTGTTCGGTGTTTGATCTATTTTTGCAATGTTTGGATGAATGGTTTTGTGTTTTTGGGCTCTAATGATCCGACCCAATAAAAAAAAAAACTAAAAAAGTGAAAAAGGTAAAATATATATATAAATAAAATAATAAATTGATTAGGTTAATTAGTTTAATTTATGATTAATGAAATTAATTAATTTTAATTAAAATAAATTAATCATGTTTATTAGCTTTAATTTGAGATAATTGGATTCATTTAATTATCTTAGTTAAAGATTAATAAATATGATTAATTAATTTTAATTAATTTTAATTAATATTAAATTAAACATTTAATTAAATTAATTATCTTAATTAATTTTTAATCTTCTATTTGCCTTAATCTTGTTAAAAAAAATCAAAAGTTATCTCTTTTATTTCAATTTTGCACAAAACTTTCATGCTCAAGCACTTTAGTCCAAAAGTTTCAAACCTTTTCAAATCAGTCCTCTATTTTTATTTTAATCAAATCACTCCATTTAATTTTTATTTGTGCTTATTGTGCGTACATCTTTTTTATTTTGTCCATTTTAATCCAAAAATTAAAAAATGTTTCAATTTGGTTTATCCTTTTTTAAGTTTCCCTATTAAGACTTAAACATAAAGATAATAAATAAGTTGAATTAAAACCCCAATGTTAAAATATGCAATTGTGTTTAAACGGAAGATTGTGAGGTGCACATATGCCCTTCCTTAGTCCTAACCGAACCCCTGAACCCCAGTCTCTGTGTAGACCCGTTTTAGATAACTTGTCCTACCTTATAATTTGGACAAGTGGCGACTCCCTTTTCTTTTATATTTTTCACACTTAATAATAATAATCTTTCATTATTTTGATATCTTAAGTGGTCGTCAACACCTCTATGTTTTTTTTTTGAACAGCAAATATATTATTTATTAATAAGCGGAATACAAGGGGTACTCCAAACCCATTAACATCAAAAGATAACACAAGGTGTCGACACCCCAATGAAGTGTCGGCACTATACCCGTGACGGGAATGATGCCTTCCTTTGTATTCTCAATAAATCTCCCTGCTCAGATCACAAACCTCCGCCCATCACACCCACTGACCCAGAAGACTTTGATCATGCATTGACTACAGCTAAAATCCACTACAGTCAATAATTGCTCAAAAAGCCTTAATGAGTCCCCATAATACAGCCATTCTACCCTTCGAAAGAAAAGCCATAGACAACCATCCATATATCCTCTACACCCTCCCCTCCCACAGATTATTCATTTGGTACCCTTCTTTACCTATGGCAATCTTTCAAGCATGCAGCTGGATTAATAAACCAGTCCGTTAAAGAGAAGGCATACCTCTCTTTTTTTGCTGTGATCCAATGGAACGACTTTAATTGGATGAGTTCCAGCAGCTTCTCCCGGTTAATTTCTTTGCCCATGTTTGTTTCCTGATCTTGAAATATCTTCCTATTTCGCAGAAGCCAAATTGACCAGATCACTGCACTCCAGATACAATCCCATCCATTTTTGAGCCGTTTGTCCTTGGTCCATGCCTCAAAGTGGTCGAAGGTTGTCCAGCAGTCCGTCTCCATCCTTATAGAGATCCCCCACCATTTAGCACACTCCTTCCAAATCCATTTCGCTACTTTGCATCTCAAAAACAAGTGGGCTGAGTCTTCTTCTTCCTCCTCGCAGAGCCTGCACTTCACATCGTCCCTCACACTGTCAATTCCTCTTTTCAACAAATTCATTTTGGTTGGGATTTTATTAAGCACAACTCTCCAATTAAATGCTGCAATTTTGCTTGGAATATTATGATTCCAGATTCTTTTAAAGCATTTTTCCTTTGGAGTCTGTTGGGCTTTTGACAACAGCGAGTAAGCTGATGATGATGAGTACTTGCCGTCTCTCTTGTGCACCCACTCCCATTTATCTGTGATTCCTGGTTGGATTTTCACTTCCTCGATCATTTGTGATAGCTTGTATGCCGTCTCTTCTTCCCATTCCATCAGTCTTCTTCTCCAATTTAATTTCCATTCCCACGTTCCATTAAGCTCTCTCCCCATTTGGCAGCATCTTTTCTCCTTATCTGAAGAAATCAAATATAGTCTAGGAAACGAATTAGCAAGGCAGCGCCCCCCACACCACTCATCCCACCAGAAACTCACCTCTCTACCCTCCCCCATCTTTAATCTAAATCCCTCAGCTAACCACCCGATATTGTCCCTCTCGGCATTGTTTAACCTCTGGACATCTCTCCACCATAGAGATCCCCCCTCAATTCCATTTCTCACCCAGTTCTGCCAATGCCCCCCTCCCCCTCCATATTTACCTCTAATGACTCGTTTCCATAGACCCTCTTCTTCTGTTGCTAACCGACCCCACCATTTCCCCATAAGCGCTAGATTAAACTTCTTTAAATCTTTCACCCCTAGCCCCCCGCACTCCTTATCTTTGCAAATCATATCCCATTTTACCCAATTAATTTTTCTCTCCACTCCCTCTCCCCCCCATAAGAAATTCCTACGAATTTGATCAATTAAATTAAGCGTACCTTTTGGGATCAAGTAGACGGACATCAAGAACACGGGGAGACTGGACAACACTGAGTTAATAAGTGTAATTCGACCGCCTTGGGAGAGATACCGCGCTTTCCAACTCGACAGTTTCTTCCTAACCGAATCAATCAATGGCTGCCACGTCTTAAGCCTTCTATGGCTCCCCCCAATGGGAATCCCCAGGTATTTGAATGGGAATTCCCCTTCTTTACAGCCTAATCTATAAGCCATTTTGTTTCTCCAATCATCATCCACCCCTATGCCCATAAGTTGACATTTCCCAAAGTTAATTTTCAGCCTCGCCGCCAATTCGAATGTCCTCAAAATACACTTAATTGTCCTTACATTTTGCTCGGAAGCCTCCCCAAAGACTATGGTGTCATCCGCAAATTGTAAGTGAGAGATTGATACTGCGTCCTTTCCGACCTCCACACCCTTATACAGCTCTTTGTCAACCGCTGCTGTCATCAATCCGTTTAAACCCTCAGCCACAATCAGGAATAAAAAGGGGGATAGAGGGTCTCCTTGTCGGATGCCTTTTGTGACCGGAAATTGGCGTGTTGGACTCCCATTAATTAGAATTGAGACCATGCTCGATTTCAAGCATTCTTGGATCCACCTCCTCCAAGTATCACTAAAGGCCATTCGGTCTAGCATATAATCAATAAAATTCCAGCACACCTTGTCATATGCCTTCTCGAAATCCACTTTGAACACAAAGCTTTTCTTCCTCCTCCTCTTCGCTTCATCTATTACTTCATTCGCAATGACTACTCCATCCACCAATTGTCTGCCCTTAATAAATGCCATCTGTTGTTCTCCGATGATCTTATGTAGCACTTTGCATAGGCGGCTTGCTAGTAATTTAGCAATCACCTTATACATGACACCGATAAGGGATATGGGTCTATATTCTTCGATTCTTTGAGGATTCTCGGTTTTAGGGATCAACACAATGAAGGATGCATTAGACCCTCTTTCTAATCTGCCCTGTTCTTGGAATTCCTTTACAAATCCGATCACTTCATTTTTAATGTCCTCCCACATGGACTTCAAAAAACTGAAATTGAAGCCGTCCGGGCCAGGGGCTTTAGAAGAGTCACACTCCCAAATGACTTTCCTAACTTCCTCTTCAGAGAAAGGTGCTACAAGGAGCTCATTATCGGTTTGGCTTATCTGCTTAAACCCAATTCCATCAAGTTTGGGACGCTGCCATACCTCTTCTGTGAATAGATTCTTGAAATATTCTGCCACCCCCTCCTTTATTTCTGTCACTCCCGTGAGTTGCTTTCCATTAACCATAATGCTACAAATTTCATTCCTTCTTCTTCTTCCATTTACACTTCTATGGAAGAACTTTGTGTTTGCATCTCCTTCTTTGAGCCACATTTTTCTTGATTTCTGCTGCCACATACTCTTCTTGGTTTTTAAGTTGTTCCAAAGATCGATAACGCACCCTCTCCTTCTTTCTATGTCGGAGTGAGTCAATAAGCTATTTTCTCCTTTCTTGTCCAGCTCTTCAATCTCAATTTCAGCCTCCATAATTTTCTTCTCAACTGTTGTCATTGAGCTTCCGCTCCACACCTTGAGAGCATTTTTGGTGAATTTCAGCCTTTCTTTCAACCTGAGTCCATAGCCGCCATTCACTTCACAAGATTTCCAAGCTTTTCTGATAGTTTCTATGCATCCTGGTTGATCTATCCAAGCATTAAAAAATTTGAACGGTTTCGGCCCCCAATCCACCTTCTCATTTTTCAGTAAAATTGGGCAATGGTCTGACACTGTTCTTCTTAGTCCCATCTGTTTCACATCTTTCCATTTCAGAACCCATTCATTTGAAAGCAAGAATCTGTCAATTCTACTCATTTGCAACCCATTTGAGTTATACCATGTACACTTCCTTCCAATCAAAGGTAAATCAATTAATTCCGCTTCATGAATAAAACCATTGAATTCCCTCATTTCTGTAGTAATTTCCCTACTTCCCTGCCGTTCCCCTGCTGATCTAATGGCATTAAAATCCCCTCCCAAGCACCATCTTCCCCTCCTATTAATGATCAAACACTGCAGCTCCTCCCAAAGACCTCTTTTACCAGCTAGAGTACATGGAGAATAAATATTTAGAATATAAACTGGCGTCTCCTCCTCCCCCCAGACCCCATAAACTCCAATAAAATTATTACCCTCCAAAACCTCACGTTTCTTAAACACCTTAGCATTCCACACACAAAGCAAGCCTCCCGACATACCGTTAGATGGCTTAAAACTCCAATCAAACTCCACCGAACCCCATATCCTTCTGCACATATGCCTATCAATCTTCTCTAACTTAGTCTCCTGTACTAATAAAAACTCAACCTTCTCTTTTGCAACCAACTCCCTAATTTGTCTTTTCTTTTCAGCCCCCCCCAAGCCTCTTACATTAAATGACAACAAATGCATTCTAAATTGCACCTACCTCCTCCCTCTGCTCGGGTACAATCTTTTCCCGGATAGCTTGTGTCCGATTGTCTCTGCACTCCAATTCATCAATCCTTTGTATTATTTCTTCCTCATTTTCGGCCACAGCTCCCAGCTGCTTCGCTAATTCCCAGATCTCCTTAGCCAGCTCTTTCTTCAACTGCTTTTTAATTGCTCTGTTGCAGTTTTGAATGCAGCTATCTCCAATAGATTCTCCAGCTATTTCTCCTCTTGGGCTTGCCCCGAAACCCGGTTGTGCTCTGTTCTCCTCAAAGCCTCGCCTTCTTCCTTTTCGGTCTCTGCTTTCTTGCCGAAATTGGTGAGGGAATCCCTCTTTCGAGTACACCGAACTGCATGACCGGAATCGTCTCTTGCTCTTCTTTGGGATCCCTTCGGCTTTTCCATCTATCCCTTCTACTAGCCTGTCGTCTTCCCTCTCATCCCCTTTTCCAGCAGTTTCGAGTTCTCCATTTATGCTATTCACCGACCCTGTTTCCCTTTGACTTTCTGCAGCTCCTTTATCTACAAAGTTTTGGGCCTTCTTCAAGGTGCTAACTTGGGCCTTCTCCACTTTATTAGACACCTCCTCTCCTGCTAATTTTTCCTTCCTATTGGACTCCTCTTTAGACCCCCTTCTACTATGTTCGAGCAAGCCCACCAGATAATCCTCCTCATTCATGGGCCCAGCTGAAATTTCAAAACTCCCTCTCCTTCCACCCGAAAGATCCCTGTCTGATTTGCCTTCCCCTTCCATCTCAGTTTGAATTTTTTGCAGGGTGTCAGAGACCCTATCAACTGTCTTCTCACTTCCCCTCACGGCTTGTGTTAAAATTTTACCGTTGCTCTCCTCCCAACAGCTTGCCACGTCCTCATCTTCAACCTCAGCTTCCTTGCCTGCACCAGAATCACCCCGTGCTTCTTCTGCTCCCTCACCGCCCAACTCCTCTTCCTCACTGTCCATCATCCAGGATTCTTGTTCTTCTGAGTCGCTTTGGAATGTAGGCAAGAAATCCTGTTTCAATGAGAAGAACCCATTGGTAAACTCCTCCTCTGTGAACTTAATGTTGTGTATGGATCCATTAATCCTTATAGCCCTCTTGACAGAAATCGTTTCCATGATTGGCGTTGATATCAAAAATCGGCCAATGTCGAATCTCCTCCTTTGGCTGGTACTATCATCGACACAGATAAACTTCCCCCATGCACAGCTCATATTTGCAAAGAATTCCGATTTCCATACATTTAGAGGGACTCCTTGGCACCTAATCCAAACAAATCTTTCCGATGCCACTATCTCCGGGGTCCATGGGCTCACCTCTTCAAACCACTGCGCTAACCAATCTGATGCTATCTCAACCAGATCCTTCAATTCCTCTTTATCATCGCAATCTAGTAGCACCAGTTTACCCCCCATTGCACGAATTCTACAAGAGAAATAGCCTTCCATATAGAACTTCTCCTGTAGATTACGAACCATTTCAACGGAATGGACCTTCCCCACATAGCATCCTTGTAGCCATGAATATTCTTCTTCCTTTACATTGTACTCCATGCCAGTCCATTGTTCTCCCTGTCCTTTCTCCTTCCAGACTCGAGTTTTTTCACTGCTTCGAAGGTCCGTTCGAGTACTACTTCCTCTGATGGCCCTCCCATGACTTCTTCTCCCACTGTCTTTCTGATTTGCCTCAGCGTCTCCTCTTGCTTCCATTCCATACTGTCCCTTCACCACCTCTGCATACGTCCTGTTTTGAATCTTTGGTTCCACTCTTGGTTTCTTTCTATACCCCTCTTCCCTGTTCAGATCTTCGTTTCTAAACCTTGGAATATTCACCCGTAATTTGAAATTGCCAACCCATATCTGGTCAAGCCTCCTTTCCAGCTCCTTTATGTTCTGCACATCAAGGAATCTCACAAATCCGAATCTATGCCCCTTCTTACTTCTTCTACTTGGGCTGTAGATTTCTAATACCCTTCCAAACTTTCGGAACGTCATCCACATCTCTGCATAGCTCCACTCCTCTGGGAAGTTGGTGAAGAAATATGGCGTTGCTTGTTTATACAGGCCTCTGTTGTACATTCCCTCATTACTGGATTTCCATCCTTGCACTCTTCTCTGCTCCTCTGTCCGATAGCTCCTCCGTTTGCTTCTCCCTCGTGATCTCCCATGTCCGAAACTCAGTGTTGCCCGTGCTGTCCGTGTTTGGCGTCCGTCTGCTCTCCCTCTCGCTCTACCTCTCATCTCTGTGTCAACACCTCTATGTTGATTAAATAAGTTTATAAACTTAAATTTTAACAAGTCAATCAGTGAGAAAATCATTATTTAGTAAATATGTATAAATACTTATAATTCTTATTACTTCCTCCTACTACTTCGAGTTAATACATATAATAATTACCTTTAGATAGAATATTGCATGCATTAATATGAAAGTAGTAACTTTATTTCTTAACTTTAATAGTTCACTTTCAATCTTCCCAGTAGATCAACTTCAATGACATAACATGAGCAGTTTGATAAAATCAATGTGTATAAAACTTTATTAAATCTCATAAGTTTTTATTATAAGTGAATTAATAAGAATGATTCTACAGAAAATTATCCCTTGTTAGCAAAACGTTCTCTATGAAACCAAAATGATAACCTTTACTAACCACTTATAATTCTTTTAATTAATATGCACAATCACCTTTTTTGGGTAAATAATTATACATACTGATTTCAAGCAGCAAACATTCTAAAATCCTTATTAAGAAATATGTAAATTTTAATAGATGTCCCACTTTAGCAATACCAATCACATTAATTCACAAATTTTTACTAGAACGCTTATCTAATATAATATTCTAAAATCTTTATTGAGAAACATGTAAATCTTAATAAATAATCTACTTTAAGGACTATCCACACCAACTTACAAGCTCCTATTGGAACAATTACTTGTAAGTAATCTAATATTCTAGTATCCTTATTAGAAGATTAACCAATTTTTCACTTGAACAAAATTTCTTGATATCTCAAAAATCTTCAATGACCAAAATCATTAATCCTAATAAAGGAATCTCTGATGTTATTCATATTAATCATAAAACCTTATTAGAGCTTTCTTATATATATAATCCCTCTCAACCATATCGTTTGTAATCTTTAATAATAATAATTTTTTAATAATTATAATATATATGGCATATCAAAAAATCAATAATTATAAGGAAAAAGTGCATATAAATCCCGACTCCTAAAATAAATTGCAGTTTTAGCTTTAAACTATTTATTTTATTTAATTAAAACTCAATTTAAAATTAAAAAATTTGTTATATTAAATACTGATATTTAAATTTAAAAACTGATTATATTAGAATATATGATTTATTTCTAAATTTAAGTATTAATATTTAATATGGTGAATTTCTAAATTTTGAATTGTGATTTTTATTTCCAAATATAGGTTAAGACTCTAATTTTTTTTGGAGTTGAGACTGATATGAATTAACCTTTAATTATAATATATAAATTGAGAGAATTTTAAAACTTTTAGGAAGACCTTCATTACTAAATTATTACTAATTGGTTTCATAACTTTAATAGTAAAAAAAAAAATCATATGAAATCTCCATCAATATTTTAAGTGAACAAGGATACACAAATATTAAAATTCTTATAACTTTATCAGATATCTTTACTTTGAAATTTTAAATTTTTATACATTACCACAATTAGGCTATTTCTAATATGCATAATAGACGTGCATGATTACTTCTTGAAAGTAAATTTATTTTGATTGACTTTAAAGGTAATTAATTGCCAACAAAATCTGTTATATATCTAATATTTTAATTTTAAATTATATATGGTGAATTATACTCAAATTTTAATTTTTCAAAACCTCTTTAGAGATTTAGAAATTAAATAATTAAATTATAAAATTCATATGCTAAAACTTATATATGAAAGCAAATAACTTCATATTGATTAAAATATCAACATGAGTAAAATCATAACTTAGTTACCTTGTATCATTGTAGTTTATCTTGATACAATTTGATGAATCATTAAAACTATAATTTTCAACGATCATTAAAATTTAATCTCTAAAATATGTTTCATAGCACATATCATATGCATAACAATATTCACACAGAAATTTTCAAAACAAAGCATAAAAGATATGTTATATCAAAAATTAAGCTATCCAATATGTATTCTTTATGTACATATAATTATTAAATGAGATTATATATATTAATAGGTTTTCCTCACATAAGATCTAATATGTATTGTGTATTGTGGGAAAATCCTAGTTGAAGGGAAGTAGGATTCACCTTAAAAAATTAAAACACCAAGTGCACAATTACTGAAAATTGATTAAGTGTCGAAACGCTCACGTTGCGTCACACTTGCACAATCGCCTATAATTGTTTATGTGTCAACACCTTTACCCATTGCGCAAAAGAAGCCCGTGTTGGACTTTGCACCTTTGTGCAATTTCTTAAATAGTAAAATAACAATACCGATCCCTCAACTTCTATTTGCATCTCTTTAATCTCCTTTTAAATTAGAGTTAACTCAAATAAAATAGCAAAACGTTAAGCAACGAAAGAGTGTGATAACACAAGCTCACAGGCCTTGAAAGACTCAACAAGCTCCAAATTTAGTTACGTGGATCAATAACCTGTTTTCACATGAATGTTTCACCACGAATTTGGTAATATCTCGAAAATTAAACATTCACCCTGCATGTCTCAAAATATTTTGTATAGTCTTGCACACAAATATTCATGAAGATTTTTTTAAATACTTACATAGAAAAGATAGAGGGATTAAGCATCGATTGTTTTTATATTTTTAATTATTTTACATATCAAATGTTCTCTTTAGATAGAAATTTTACTTATTTCATATGGTCTAATCCTCACTTGATGACCATCAATCATTACCGTACTAATAGTGTCTTTTACTTTAAAGTACTTTGTAAATTATTAAAATTTTAAGGATAAAGTTACATAAAAGCAAAACTATTAAGGGACTATACAAGAAATTTCCCTTTAATCATCTCTAACAATTAGAATTTGTTACATAACATGAAACTAGATTTCAGTTGAATTTGCAATTGCCACAGGCCTAATTAACTAGATTGAATTACCCTTAGGCCATTAGTTGAAAATATATTAAATATAATACAAGTTTTTGCTTTCCTTTAAATGGAGTTCTTGATCACAAACACACCAATATAATTCAAATAAGACTTCAAACCAGTTAAAGGAATATCAAAATCTTGACTTAATTGAATTATAACATGTCTGATTTTCCATAGAAAACATGTGTCAAATCATAAAACAAGAAAAACCAAATTTGTTCTTAAGCGAGAAACTTCAATTAATAATTTCTCTTAATTCAATTAGATCAACTTACATGTATTTTAGATTTTAAACCTTCATTACTTGCTAACTAAAGCCTAAAATCTAATTGCAATTTTAAAACAAACTTGACAACCTCCAAATCAAAATTTCAATTGGTTTGTCAAAACCCACACCAATAAAACTAATTGATTTCTTAATCATAATTTTGATTTTAGTCCAATTAATCACTACTGATCAATAATCACCGCAGTATAAATCTAGCCACACTTGACAAGATAAGAGCTAATCACATCAGAAACACATTTAAAATCAATCGAAAATTTTAGCATGATAAAAAGTTTAAACTTAATCACCAATTAGCACTTAATCATACTCAATTATAAAACCATCTTTTAATTTCAACTTCAGGGCATCAACAATTTATGAAATAAAAGATTTTCGTCTCAACTCTTCAAACACATATATACAAGAAACAATTTTAAATAATCACGACTCGGATCCCAAATGACATATAATTGCTTTAATGCTATGTGTTAGAATTTAAGGAGTGACCTATGTAAAATTTAGAATATTAAAATATAACAAAATAAATAAATTGTATACCTTAATATATATAATGACCATAATCAGTTTACAAGATATGAATATTACCAAGAATCATGCAGGATATCATAATTTAGAATCTCATGTAAAATTTACGAAATAAATATGATTAGTATTAATATTAGGTCTCTTTCCTTATTCAATTTTTATATAGTGACAACTAAATTTTTTATTTGACTTAATTTTAAAAATCAAATATAATTAGCAAAAGTCTATATAAAATTTTTTAATATTTGAGTGGAGACGTTCCACAGCAACGGGCCAACAGCCGAAGTACCATTGTTGATAAAGCCTTTATATACATAGCCGAAACTTCCTCGGGCCATATCCAAGTTCTCATGAAAGTTACCGTGGCAGCTTTGATCTCCACTAGTGAAAATTAACGGTATAGTTGAAGATGTTGTTTTCCTTCCACTTGCGTAGGATTGTGTTCTTTTATTCTTTTCTAAGAAATTGAAAAAACCTTCGTAGAAAAATGGAAGCATATTCTCTCATCTTGAAACAACCAAATAATCAATGTCAATGGTATTCGAGTGGCGGGGTCAGTGATCCAGGCCTCATAGAATTCAGCCAACTTGTAGGTCTTCGCCACACTTTTCTCGAAGAAATCTCTTCCATACAGCATATATCTAAATTCAATTCCTTTCAATCAATCTCACCATTGTCTTCTACTATAGAAAAGTCCTACCATGGCCTAAACGTCAATCGCCCATTCTTGACTTTGATTTTTCAACAATCTCTGAATTATACAGAATAGCACTAATTATAGAAAGGTTTTAGGGTACACAGGATTACTCTGCTATAGAAAATGAATCCGCAATCTCTCTAACCACATTCCTCATCTCTCTCCTCCATGTCCTCCACTCGTCTGCCAACGCCGCCACTTGCAATGCTACTAACATCATACTCCTTGACTGCTGTTCAACTTCAAACACCATATCATTTGACGGCTGTAGCTGGGAGGCCGATCCTCCCTCTAAATATTGAGCATAGCTAATAGAACCTGTATCCATGAAATGTTGAGTGTAGGTGTAAAAATATATATATATATATATGACAAATTTGCTGTAATGTTATATCAAGTTTTCTAAGGAAATTTAAATTGTACAAGTTGCAATTCACAAAGAAAGGATGATCATTCTATCAAACTAAAAAAAGAAAAGAAAAACTGGGGTTGAGGTGGGGGTGGGGTCCTAGAAGAGAATTATCTGTGGTTTGTGAACTTATTGCTTCGTAAGTTCTCCTGTCCCTCTGTTGAGCATTCATGATTGCTTACATCATATAGTTTAATACATTTTACAATATATTTATTAATAAATTATTATTTTTAAATTTAAATTTAAGACAAAAAAAATTTAACTATAAAATTTAATAGTTGAACCAATAAATGTTGGTAAATATACATGTTGAATCGAAAAATATATCAATTATTTCTCTCTTCAAAATTAGTTTGTCATGCAGAAACAACACTTAAACAGTCACATAAAATTACAAAACAAAATGCAAACTCAATCCCCAAAGTCCAAACTTACTTCCTCAAGCATTTTTTGCTCAGCCTCTACTTCAGCAGAGTCCCTAAAATTTAAAACAGTGAAAGCTTAGAATCATTAGCTAACAACAGTAAAGGACTACAATTTTATTTAGCTCTAAATTTCAACCTGAAAGTTTCACAGAAGTTGTTCTTATTGTATTTTAGTGCTGTCTAATACAAAGTGAAATTTCTACCTTTAACCGCTCATTGATGAACTTCAGTAAGGTAAGTTCCTTAGGATGTAATCGTAAGTGCTTCATGTCACACAACGCCAATCCAGTTTGGTGAATAAGAGCCTGCAGGTTTGCAGCTTCAATATCATATATACAAGCTAGTAGCTGGACAGAATCTTGATATTTGGATTAAGTTCCTTCAAATTAGAATGCAAATTGGGGTACAATTTCAGGAAAAAAAAAAAAAAAGAAAACTCACCTGTAAGTTGTGATTTATGCAATCATGAACATTATCATTAAGGCAAAACTGAGTAGCATCATTTAAGGCACATATGAGTTTCACTACATTTCTTATCTACTCAATTGTAGATCCTGTATGAATATTGACATGTTTTAGTTGGCTACAGCCTCTTGTTGATTATGAAGTTGCAATTTCCACTATAAATGATTAGTCGTTTTTGGTAAAGTTTTCGTTTTTGTTTATCATTGTCTTTGTTCCGCACCAGGAGAGACAACAGTCGTACCAAAGTGTTTTTGAATCTTGATTGACCAGAATTATCAAATAAATTAATAGAATGAATTTTGATAAATGCCATATTAGATAATACATACACTTAAGCAGGAAAAAAAATTCTTCAGCAATATACATACCCTTCAATCTTCTCTTCACATATTTTTTGCACTTAATTATTTCTTTTCGGTTAAAACCCCTTTTTGGTCCCCAAACTATTGTACGGACCCCCGATTTAGTCCTTGAACTAAAAAAATCCTGATTTGGTCCCTACTGTGTTTACCCATTTTACCCCAACTTGGTCCTTCCGTTAAAAATGGTCCGTTAACTCACAGACATATCAAAAATTTAAGACACGTCAGTTGTCCAGCTGGATAAATGATGACATGGCCATACCCAACACAAAAACAAAAGTGGGGCCCACCAAATTACAATTTTGCATCATCTTCTTCCTCCAGCATCTTCTT